CATTGGGAGGCTTTGGTCCATCTCCCAAGTAGCCTATACCAATGAGTTTCAGATTGGACCTCATGCATTTCAGTGAACCTCTCCAATACTGTACTGGCATGATCAACAACCGGTTCTCACGGCCTCCAGGAGTTGCCGAAGGCTGCTAATCAATTCAATCGTGTTAATCTTCAATTCAATCCAAGGTCCTCGCATGACATGTGACTGGTTGTTGGTTGTGCCAGTACAGTATGCAGGTTTTAGATTGTAAATGTAAGCAATATTTTTGTTTCCTAATTTCTGCTTTCCACCCCTCAGGGCCTCAATCAAGACCAAATGTGACTGCCTGTTGCCAAGCACTGAACATTAGATATGGTGTTTCCCTCTTTCTCACTGATGTTGCACACAATAAATTCTTACACCAGGTGTTGTATCACTTCAATGTTCCCCTCGATCCAAAGGCCATTCTGTCCTCTTTGCATCACTCATTTCTACTTCACTTTGACCATCTTTACCAGGAATGGCACACATAGTGTGCCGTATAGAGGCTGGCACCTGCCTAAGTGCACTGCCCATTGGTCAGCCCTAATCCCTGACAGCAGTAAGAAAACAAATGATAGAGTTTTTTCACATCATTATCTCCAAATGTAAGGGATTAACCTTACTTCACTATAATTCCAATTATAGTGATGCTATTATTTCTTTATTTATTTGTGCCGAGATATGTAATTTACATATATATACCTTGGAGTAGTTGTAAAGGCCCAGTAGCCTTACCTCTACCCCATTGAATATACAGCACATTAAAGCTTATATGTTACAGGAATGGGTTCCAGGGAACCCAACCTGAGCCGTTCTGCTCACGGACAGAGGTGGCTGTGTAGCTGTTGAAGGGAGAGCAGGAGGAGATCTGAGACCAGATGTACTAATGGTAACTTGGTGCTCCGAGGAGTGTACCGGCAGCGGGTGTGGTGTCATGCTAACGGTGACTTGGCACTCCGAGGAGCATACCGGCAGCAGGTATAATGGGGGCTCCTTGGGGGAGCCACCTAACAGTTGGCTAGCGGCAACTTGGCACTCCAAGGAGCATACTGGCAGCAGGTATAATGGGGGCTCTTTGAGGGAGCCATCTAACAGTTGGCTAGCAGTGACTTGGCACTCATGTGAGCGTACCGGTAGCGTGGGTAGTTGGCACTCCTTGAGGGAGTAGCCCAGTGGTTGTCTATTGGTTACTTGGCGCTCAAGGGAGCATACTGGTAGCGGGATTTGTTGGGGCAGGCAGGTTGGTTGACCAGTGCACGGTAGTGAGTGACCGTGGGAATTTGGGCCTGCGGGTACGTGGCCAGGCATCCTGGGGCTGCCTGGGTCACTTCTCCCTCCCAAGAAGGGAGGAAGGGTTGTAGGACCCAGTAGGGTACTACAGGAAGGATAGGAATGGGAGCTCAACCACCCAGTGGGGGGGTGGGAGCGGGAAGAGTGAGGTCCGGTGTCTGAGCACTCACTGGGCCGTTGAGGTTTTCTCACAGATTGTAAGAATATCGATGTAGACATCGATATGGACCAAGTCAGATGTTACAGAGAAGGCTTACAGTGGTAGCACAATGGTGTGGCAGTTACAATCGCGGTACAAGATTTTGTGGGTTATGTATTAGATAAGGAAAGACATTTTTCGGCATCTGCCTTACACATCACATGACTTCTAACTATCTAATATAAAAGTCACAATGGTCAAGGGAAGTCCCTTGAAACTCAACAAATTCCCCAGCCAGCACCAAAACCCAGTGGGAAAGCTTGGCATGGGGTTTGACAATGAAATAAAGGTGCAGGGACCAAAGGTTTGACTGCTCATAGTCATGGACCATAAGATTCTAGGTCCATTCCTATAACATTATATTTAGATGGACCAACTGAGGCCTGAGGTGAACAGGGGAATGGAATGTACCATCCCCAAGATAGTAAGCAACCCCTTCACCCAACCACCATATGCAGTGTGTGTAGAGGTTGTTTTGCTCTCAGTGCCATGCTCCCTCAGCCTGTGGATACGTAGCTACACTCCCTGATTTCTGAGATGGTATATCCAAACAATTGGGAGATTTGTGAGTGAGTGGTGGGAATTTGCTGCACCAGTTATAAACATGTAATAAACATGAGGTCATGCAACTCAGAAAGGAAATACAAACACATAAGCAATGGCAGGATTGGCATAATATCAGGAGGACAGTGTGACTCTGCTGTGCAGGTAATAATATTTTACCATCAAATCCATGGTCCTTTACCAGGATTCCATTACCATGCTTTTGAGGGTAAATGACTGTAAGGGGTTGGTGTAGGTGCCAACCCTGGTTAGCCTAGTTCCTCAGGCTGCCAACAAAAATAACTTGTATGAAGTTATTATTTGCAACAGTATGGGAGGAAAGGCTAAGTTGCTTTTTCCACTTTCCCACACTATTGTATGTACTTTGTATACACATGTTTATTACAAGACAATTATACAATTATGTAATGGGAAATAAGGGGTGGGGTTATGTAAGTGCATGGTTATAAGCACCTCACGCTCCCAGTCCATCACACAAATATGCTTTAATGAGCTATATTGTTAATGGGGGAGTAAAGGCTGAGGAGCCTTTCCTCCTACCCATGCATCTTATATATGTGTATTTACATGATGTAATGTGGCTTAGTATTATACAGGTTGTTTATGTTACTGAAGCGTGACTGCAGTCGTGCTTGATGTGAAGTATGGAGAGGACAGACAATGTGTGGGTATACATTGTAAGTCCTTACACTCTCCTCCCTTGCGATATTCAATATCGCAAATGAGAATCAAAAAAAAAATTCTATTGTGAACAAGAAATAAAGATATAAAAAATTTAACAAGAAATGCGACAAACATGCATTAGACAAGAAGGTAATTAACAATAGACACAAGGAAACAGAGGTGGTTAGACCCTAGTTTCTCTTTGTGGATGCCAAGGCACAGGTGACAGAGGTGGTTAAACCTCAATTCACTCTGCATCAGAGTCGCAGGCCTTGCAGGTGGTTAGACCTGAGATGCTCAGTGAGGAGAAGGGTGGTAGCCAGGGCGGTTAGGCCCCAGTTACTCAATTGAACAAGAATAATTTGGGCAGAGGTGGTTAAACCCCAGCCTCCTGGGACAAGTATAGAAGGCAACAAAGGTGGTCAGACCTTCAACCCTCTCATGGAAGTTAAGCTAGGCAGCCAAGGTTGTTAGACCTTTTCTGCTTGTTGGACAAGAAACACCCCATCCCACTCATCGAGTGTGGACAGGGGTTACCAAGGGGACATCAGTCCTTCTTGGCTTTGCCCTTTCGGGCAGGAACGGACCCACTAGCCTGGGGCCCTCTAGACAGGCCTGCCACTGCATTCTCAGCAGAGGGGGCCTGCGTCCATTGGGCTGCTGGGAAACGTCTCGGCCTTGGGGCCTCTTTGTTAGAATGGTGCGGATTCGGACGACTCCGGAATGGAATTGGAGACTTATCATGGAAGGACCTCGGCCTCAGCGACTCAGGTGGAGCGCTGTGCCATTGCTGGTTGTCCTGGAGGTCCCTAATTTCGGATCTAGCAGAGGGAAAGTCTCTTGGGGGAATTCAAGTCGATTTTGGACTGAGGTTACAAGTTACTAGGTACATTGTATATAAGGAGGGGTCCGGAATCAAAAGGAACAAGGGTAGGACAAAAGGAGACAAAGGGAGATGGAAAGAGGAACAACACCGAGGGTCAAGTGTTTGACTCAATGGTGTTTCCCAAAGGAGGAATGAAGGGCCAAGGCCCAAGGAGGAAGGGAGGAGGGTGGGAGTCGGGAATGGCTAGCTGACTGAATAGAAAGAAGCAGCAGCCCAAATAGGAATGAGGGAGAATAGCGGAATTGAAATGGGCAGTGCAATAGTTGCAAGGTCCGGAGTAAGTCCGGAAAGTCCGAACTTGGAGGTTAAACTCCGGAATATTGGCAAACATAATTAAATGGAATGAGCTAACCAATACAATGGGTATAAGCGGAGGTGGGGTCAAAGTCCGAGGTCGGAGCTAAGACCGGAGGTTCCGGAGACAGAGATGCGAACGGGATTCCGGAGCGGAGGTCCGGAGTCAGGAGCATAGGTTTTGCGTACTCGTCTGGAAGGTGTTGAGGTTGGGGTCGGACCCGGAATGTTCCGGAGTCGGACCGAAGGTGGTGTCTGAGCCGGAGGTGGGATAACCTCTTGGGAGTCGGCAAGGAGAAAGTGACGGAAGGGAAGTAGGGCTCCGGAAGTCGGAGTTCGGAGTTCCAGGAGCCCGGAGCGGAGGTCGGGATTGTATGGATATGACACTCTTCTACCACACCATCGTCCACCAACATTCCCTCAGTGTGGGGAACGGGGTTATGGGGCGGGGTGGGTTCTATTACCTGCAAATATGGCAACGGTGGATTATTATCCACTGTTGTGTAGTGAGGAGGCAGAACCTGGGGGGGTCCTGAAATGGCAGAACTAGGGTCACTTACCTGCAACCTGGAAAGGTTGTATGCAGTGGTGCTAGTTGCCTTTTTCGAAATTTCGGGGACAATCCCCAACACATCCATTGAGTTCAGTGGCAGACACATTTTGTCTGTTCATGAACTTAATGTTGAAGAATCGACCATGAAGTTGATGAGCCTCCAGCGGAGCACTGTTGAACCTGTTGGAGGAACTGTGTGCTATGGGAGGCCGGACGAGTTTTTGTACAGCCACATTCCTGTGGTAGCGTGACTACTTGGTCACAACACCTTTTCTTCTTACTTATTTTGGTCACTTCGGACTTATCCGCAAAGTCCACAAACTATATTCATTCATTTGGATTAGTTTCCTTTTTCCCTCAGTTCTCGTGCATTAGCTTGAGACTGAGGTTAGTTACAACATTCTTTTACTCTTATTTCTTATACATTGTAACTCATTGTATATTACCTTATAGCTTCAGCATTAGGTAATATTACAGTTCTCGCACATTAGCTTGAGACTGAGCTCCAGCATTAGCAAGCGGTTATTCCGTTAGAACCCATTCCTCATTTCATGGTCGAGCCATTTCAAGTCCACCATGAACTTGAACCCTTCAATCGAGTTCAAGAACAGGTGAACCCAGTCATTCCACCGCTTTTGGCGGCAGTTACAACTGTCCGACACAGGCCAGTTTTGGCCACTGATAGTGACACCAAAGCAGAAGTCACCCTGGAAAAACGTGCCTGGGATAGGGATGTTTCTCCAGGTCCCAGTAGTGGGAGAGCGATTCACCTCAGCAAACCACAAATACCCCTCTGGGACTAAGTTAGGTGCCTCACTGGGTTGGGGAGGAGGAGGTGCTGTCATGGCACCAAAAGAAGATGAGGGCCCTTGAGGCCCTGGGGGAGGAATGGGAGCTGCATGGTGACCGTAATGGCCGTCCATGAGGCGAGCAAGAGGAACCCTTACTCTCATTGGGACAGGAGGTCTCGCAGTGCAGTTATGTGCCTCCACATTCAAAACAGACATAGGGACCACTGGTGCCCTATGCTGGCTGTGTTGAGACAGTACAGGTGGCGTACCTACTCTCGACATGTGAGGGATCTTATGAGGGCTCTCACCCTCATAGGCGTTAGCTTCCTTTTCCATGCGATCGATCTGTTTTTCGAGGTCGTCACACTTGTCTTGGAGCCATGATTGGTGATGGGAAGAGTTTCTCAACTTGAGATTGAGACAAATGTTCTCGATCTTGAGCCCATGGAAATTCTCTCGTAATTCCTTATTCTCGTTTCTGAGGTTATTGGCCTCGTCGCAAGATCGGGAGAGTTCACCTTCCAAAAGGCAGACCCATTGGCTTGCTTCCTTAAGAAGGTCACCTAGTATTGAGTCATTCGAGGCCGCAATGGGCAGTCTCACTGGCTCTCACTGCATGTGAGGATTATACCCCCACATGCCTGGGGCAAATATTGGGTATGGTGGCACCTGCATAGGTGCCATCATTTCTGGGGCGTAGTTTTGCCCCATGTATTGGGGCTCGTTCGATGAATAGTTGACTTGTGACTGAGTAAACTCACCTGTGGCAGGGGACAACTGGCCTGATATGGCCGGAATAGGTGCTGGGTCCGCTGGTCACAAATCCAGGGGGAGTACAGAGTCTAGCTTGTCAATGCCAGGCGTTAATGGCTGATGAGGTGAGTCAAGGGATGGCATGGACACATCAGCGTCCATGGTGTCGTTAGAGGGGCATGGGCTTGGCCTGCAACTGATGTCAGAAGTCTTCATCGGATCAGACATGATGGCAGGAGATAAGAAGGAGCAATTTTCATGTGTGGGAATATTAACGAACCCACGGAAGCAATTTCCACTTATGGCAACTAACGCCATAAACGGCCTTCTGATGGCTGCAGGACCATTCCCAAGTGGGCAGGCCGTCAGGAATGGTGGGGATGAGATGCCAAGGTGGCACTTTGTATAGGAGGTGAGGGAAAGCGGCTTTCCCTGTTTAATTTCTCGACTGCATCAACACCATGTAACATTAGATAGTCGTCCAATGCAGCGAGTTCGTCACAGTGAGACAGGGGTTCCCAAGTGAGATCCCCAAGGCCCCATTGAACATGGAACCACAGGCTATCACATGTGTCCCATGCATGGTCCAAAATCTCTTGGACCTGATATTCCCATTCAGGATCATCACCAAAGTCATAGAATACTTGGGCAGCCCATCCCGGGAACAGTAATGAATCGTTTGGCTCATGAGGGGCCAGATGAAAAACATGAAATTTGGAGAATATTCCCCAACTTACAAGCTCTGGCAGGAGCTTGAGGGTATAGTTAGATGAATCCTCGAATACTTTGAGGATTTCGTATGGTCTGACAAACTTAGGGAGGAGCTTCTTGGCTCATCCCTTAGGAAGGTTCAGGTTTTTAGTTGAAAGGTAGGTGAGGTCGCCAACTTTCAGCTTAGGTGAGTCTGGTCACCTGAGCTTATTTGACTGGATGGCCTGTTCTACATGACTCTTTATAATCGAGTCGTGAGCTCCCTGGAGATTATCTAGCACTTGTTGTGCAAAAGCGCTGACTCCAGGGAGGTTCATAGGTGGTACTTCTACCACCATATGTGGCATAATCCCATAAATAAGCTCAAAGGGGGCGTACCCCATTGACTTTTTAACACTTGAGTTTATTGCAAACTCGGTAAGAGGCAGTTTTAGGACCCAATCACGCTGATCAGGTCCAACTGTGGCACAAATGATCTGGATGACACTCTGGATCATCTGTTCAGCTTGACCATTGCCTTTGGGATGAAAGGCAGTGGTCATCTTCAGACGAATCCCCAAGAGTCTGTGTAGTTCCATCCAGAATCTGGATGTGAACTTAGTGTCCCTATCGGACACTATTGACTTTGGTAAGCTGTGTAGGCAAACAATGCCCTTGAGGAACTCATACACAAGTTCCAAGGCATTGATTGTTGTCTTCACAGGTATCAGATGTACCTGTGAAGTTAGGCAACACATAACTACCCATAGGTAGTTATAGTCCAAACTCGATGGAAATGGACTGACAAAGTCCATTGAGATCGAAGACCAAGGGGTCTCCAGTATGGGCAGCTGGTGCAGCAGCCCAGACTTCCTCTGTGTCGTTCATTTGGTGGTTCGGCATTTTTCGCATGTGGAGATGTACCTCTCCACATCGCGGACCATAGTTGACCACCAGTAATAGTGGCACAGGTATTCTAGGGTTTTATGGGATCCTAGGTGCCCTAGGATCCCATGTGCATGCTCGATGGCGATACCAGTCGCCCTCTCCCCTTTGTGAATGATGTCTGGGAGGACCAGATGTGGTGCACCCGACTCATTCAATTTTGAGATAAGGCCATTGGAGACCTTGAATTTGGGGAAGCGCGATGGGTTCTCCAATATACCATGCCAAGCAGATTGCTTGTTGTAGCCTTTCCTCACGGAATCAAGGAAGGACTCTTCCTCGGTTACACTTCTCAAACTTCCTTCTTCAGGGACTATGTTGGCAAGTGTCAGCATGCTCCTCCCTGAAGGGTTTTCAGGTGGGTCCAAGATTTCAGCTTCAATGTCATGATCTTCTGTCCCAACTCTGGTCGTCACAAGTTTCAAACAGAGGCGATGGAAATATAACATTTCCTCTGCTTCTTCAATGCTGTTAGAGACTGGAGCGAGACGAAGGAGTTGTCTCCATGGTGGAGGGCTTTGGCCTCAGCGACTCAGACCAGGAGCGCTGTTCCAAGTTACATGTCCGTGCCCTAATTTACTTAATGGCAATGAGAACTAAAGGGGGATCAACTCTAGTCGATTTTATCACTGGAGTGTAACCTATCTACAAGTTAAGTATATATAGTTACATTGAGGTGGGCCTGTGAATGGTGGGACCAAGCGGAGTGGAGCTAATGGAGTTAGACATTAGCCGATTGAATATTACCGATGAGTCGGGTTACGGAATTAGCAGAGTGGCAGGCAATAACCCAGAAATGGAAAGGAGGAATAGGCCTGAAGGTAGACTTGCAGGGCAAGCAAGTGAATTGCCCAGTGGGGGTGGGAGTGTGCCAGCGGACATTAGAGCTGTCTGGAGGCCTTTGGGGCTCCGTACTTAGGGAGGTGTAGGTAATATATTGAAATGAGGGGGTGGTGACCATCGAGGGAGGCAGAGGTGATTGCGGAATATGGGGGCTCCAAGGTTAGTGAAGAAGGAGCGGAGGTAGTGGAAGACGATGGCCATGGATGGATATGACAGTATCCCCTTCTTAGGCCTGAACCCTTGAAGGCCCAGAATTAGTAAGGTGAGGGGAGCTGTACTTACAGAAAAAAATGAAAACAGAAATGAGGAGTGGAGATGTCAGGGATGCATCCGGGGTGGAGGGGGCCCGGATGTAGTGCCTGGCAGAGGGACCCTCTCAGGGAGCGAAGTGGGCGTGCATACTGACGGGCCCGATCTGGGACTGTAGTCCCTGGCCACTTAGACTGAAGTGGAAACGTGAATTGTTATTAAAAGGAAGAACTACACTACTTACCTGAAGTGGAAAACGTGAGAAGAAGGTTACTTCTTCAGTTCCCACTTCAGGTACATTTATGTACATGCGGCTTGGTGTCATATCCATACAATCCCGACCTCCACTCCGGGCTCCTGGAACTCCGAACTCCAACTTCCGGAGCCCTACTTCCCTTCCATCACTTTCTCTTTGCCGACTCCCAAGAGGTTATCCCACCTCCGGCTCGGACACCACCTTCGGTCTGACTCCAGAACATTCCGGTTCCGACCCCAACCTCGACACCTTCCAGACGAGTACGCAAAACCTATGCTCCTGACTCCGGACCTCCGCTCCGGTATCCCGTTCACGTCTCGTCTCCGGAACCTCCGGTCTTAGCTCCGACCTTGGACTTTGACCCCACCTCCGCTTATACCCATTGTATTGGTTAGCTCATTCCATTTAATTACCTTTGCCAATATTCCGGAGTTTAACCTCCGAGTTCGGACTTTCCGGACTTACTCCAGACCTTGCAACTATTGCATTGTCCATTTCAATTCCGCTATTCTCCCTCATTCCTATTTGGGCTGCTGCTTCCTTTCTATTCAGTCAGCTAGCCATTCCCGACTCCCATCCTCCTTCCTTCCTTCTTGGGCCTTGGCCCTTCATTCCTCCTTTGGGAAATACCATTGAGTCAAACACTTGACCCTCGGTGTTGTTCCTCTTTCCATCTGCCTTTGTCTCCTTTTGTCCTACCCTTGTTCCTTTTGATTCCGGACCCCTCCTTATATACAATGTACCTAGTAACTTGTAACCTCAGTCCAAAATCGACTTGAATTCCCCCCAAGAGACTTTCCCTCTGCTAGATCTGAAATTAGGGACCCCTAGGACAACCAGCAATGGCACAGTGCTCCGCCTGAGTCGCTGAGGCCAAGGTCCTTCCACGCTAAGTCTCCGATGCCATTCCGGAGTCGTCCGAATCCCCGCATTCTAACACTTGGGTCACATGACGGGTGCCACGTCATCTACGGAGAGAGCTGCAGCCATCTGGGTATCCCTGCGGGGGATCCCGAGGGCATCCGCTGCAGGCGTGCGTGCTAGGCGTAGCGGGAAGTCGTCCAGGTGTCAGGGCACACACCCTGACTAGCCCGGACCCGGACCCGCATCCGGACCCGCATGCGTTGTAGGAGAAATAACGGCCACACTATGGAAACCCATTATGGAAATATGCCAGATAAATCACAAAAACCTCATACGACAAGTAGATATGAGAAAATAGAAGGACCTGAATTTTAACGAATTTTACGAATTTTTACGAATTATTATGACTATACACAATAAATCGAAAGAAAGAAAAATAGCAAAAATACTTCAAGCTTACTATCAACGAGATGGAATTCTCGGGGGAATTTATAGCAAATATTAAACCAAGAATTAGGACAATCGACCAAGATTTGACTATAAAAATAATCAGAGAACCTCCACGGAAACTACTTTCCCACGTCCGAACACGTAGCCAAGGATGGAAGTACCACGG